AGGTTGAGAGGGTTATTAATCAGTCATGTCTCAGAGTTTGAGTGAGGTGTGTCGGTAAGAGAGGACACCTGTGGAAGTGTCGAGGTGGATGAGGTCGTGTCAAAGATAATTTTCATGCGTGGAAGGCTTGCACGGGTAGAGAGAAGTGGGGAGTAGCACTGAGTTGGTTCGGCGGTGTCGGTCCACAATCCAGGAGGGTTGAAGAGCCTGAGTTGAGTAGCGGTCCTGTGCGCCTTTGGGTGAGCTGGAGCCTGGCAAGTTATCAGTCCGGTCTTTTCTCCTCTTCCTTGCTGGGGTTTGCCATCTTTGCCTTTGTTGTAGTGGGGCCGATGGTGCTGTTTGCATGACTCCGTACCAGTCGGGCACCTGGATGTCTGGAAGGTCTAGATTTTGAGTAAATATCTGAACATCTTGTGCCGATGCCAGGGAATGTGTTTTTCCATTATGTGTGGCAATGAGAGCTAGGGGAAAGCCGCATCTATATCGGATATTCCTGGCCCTTAGTGAGTCTGTGAGTGGGTGCAGCGTGCGTCGTGCGTCGTGCTTGTAGTGTGTGCCAGGAGAGATCTGGGAAGATTTGTATGGGATCATTCCGGTACAGCAGCGGTTGTGAGGTCTGTCGCAGGGCTCTGAGTATTTCTTCTTTTATGGAGAAGTAGTGTACCCTGCATACCACGTTGCGTGGCTGGTCTCTCTGGGCTCCGCGAGGCTCTAAGGCCCTTTGCGCCCTGTCTAGCAGGATCGGTGTGTCCACCGTGTGACCCAGGATATGGTTGAACATGTCGGATAATGTGGAAGGGAGATCTTCTTGGTCTTGTTCGGGCAGCCCTTTGATTCTAAGGTTATTCCTCCGCCCTCAGTTGTCGATGTCGTCTATTACCCTATGCATGGCTGATAAGTGCGTGATGTAATTGTTTCCTGCATGTGTTGCATTTGTGTGGTCAGTAGGTCTCTGTCATCTTCTATGGTGTTTACCTTCTCTCCCACTTGGCGGATATCAGATCCCAGGGATTCCAGTTTGGTCTGGAATGAGACCTCCAGTCTGCCTAGCATAGCAGCGATGTCAGCTTTGGAGGGCAGGTTGCGTAGCACCTCCTTCAGGTCCCCATCTGTCTGGCACAGGGAGGCATCAGAGCCCTCCGGGCTCAATGGAGCAAAGTCATCGTGAGAGGATTCCGGCGCCATATTGGGGCCTAGCGCGCCGGTTTGGTGATCCGCATTATCGCAGAAAAATTTGGTGAGTGCCCAAGATTTGGCCATCGGGTGCTTAGGGGCTGTGTGCTGGGTAGTGGAGGCCCTTTTTGGGTGGCCCATCTTGTAAATCGATATTGGTGGATTCCCTTTCGTCTCAGACGGAGCTCACTTAGAACGCGTCCATGTGGTATCGTGGTTCGTAGATATCCATAGTTATGATCAAACGACAACCCCCAATTTTTGGAGCTGTGGGGAATACATTGACCTACTGGATATATAGTCTAGCTGAATCTTCCCTGGGTAATGACAAACCGAGCAATATTTAGTACTCATTGTGCTGGCACAACATATCACATGGTATATGGTACATAACATAAGACACCAATGGATATTGTAAAGTGACTCATATTTATTTCCTTTATTATGTCATAAATTGTTATATAATGTCCACTGTATGGAATGGCTTACATTTTGCTGGTTATCAACATCATGTAAGCTTACAGTATAGTACGTTTATCGCGACAATGTATGTCCTAACATTTTTATGTTTTTGAGCTTGTACCTTGACAAAACTAATAAAATATAATAAATAAAAAATAAGTTATTTAAAAAAAAACCTTAAAAAAAGAAAAAACCTCTTCCTTTCTATCATTCTTCTCCTGTCAGTTGGTTACTCTTCCTTTAATTCCTCCTTTCACACTGCCCTCTGGAATGCATGCTCTGTTTACAATATTACTGGATCGACTGCTGTCCACAATCTTTTCATCTCTTCCCTTGACTTACTAGCTTTAACCAAAACATGGCTCTCTCCCTCTAACACAGCTACCCTTGCTTCTTTATCCTTTGGTGGTGTTCAATTTACAATCCAAGACACTCTGAAAGTGAAATTACCTACCCTTCCTTCCCTCCCTTTCTCCTCATTGGAAATTAATTTGATTACCTTTTTTTAACCCTATCTCTGCTAACGTTGCTGTTATTTATCATCCCCCTGGTTCCTCTCTCCTCTTCCTTGACCTCTTTGCTGCCTTCCTTCCCTACATCCTCTCCTATAAAATATCATCCTTAATTATCAGAGACTTCAGCATTCCGATTAACACACTATTGACCTCAGTAGCCTCTAAACTACTGTTAATTACCTCATCCCCTGGGCTATTACAGTGGGTTACTATTATAAAAGTATCTCTGGGCTTGGGGATTCTGTTGTAATACAATAAGCATCCAAGGCCCTCATCCACAGGAACAACAGCCCCTTTTAACTACTCTGGGGACCAGGCCCCTATTCTATGGGCAGGAGACTAGCCTTTATGCCTCTCCAGGAGGCTGTGTCATGGGAGCTTTAATCACAAAACAAAAAAAAACACAGATAAAACATATATTCAAATTCCCTGCTCCTTGGTATTTCTAAGGAAGCTGATGGCATTTCTCGGGATGCAGCTTCCTAAGAATACCACTAAAATGTAAATATTTGTATATGGACATATTTATTTTCAACATTTTGCACTTAATTCTAGATTTTGAAAAATAAATATTGTATTAAATAAAAAAAATCTATATTTTAACCGTATTATGAAATCTCTTTTATAACCAAATATTCTTTCTATGTTTTCAGAAACAATACATAAAGAGAACAAGACCATGCACATTGAGTTCCTTCTGCTGGGATTTCCAAACATTCACAGCTTCCAAAGTGTTTTCTTCTGTCTTCTTCTTTTTTACTTTGTGACAGTATCTGGAAATCTTACTATTATCTGGCTGGTGGTATCCAACACAAGCCTACATACACCGATGTACTTCTTCCTTACACAACTGTCCTTGTCTGATATCATACTCACCACAAATATTGTTCCCAACACGCTTAGCATTTTATTGCAACAAGGCAAAATTATGTCGTTTTCAGATTGCATGACGCAGTTTTACTTCTTTGGTAGCTCGGAATCTTCAGAATGTTTATTTCTCACCGTGATGGCTTATGACAGATATCTTGCAATTTGTAGACCATTACATTACACTGCAATCATGCACTATGCATTTATCTTGAAATTAGTTATTGTGTCTTGGTTGCTGAGTTTTTCATTGATATTAATATCTACAATAACAGTATCAAGGCTGCAGTTCTGTGGACCAAATGTTATTGATCATTTCTTCTGTGATCTTGACCCTCTAATAGCCATCTCTTGTTCAGATACTTCTATTGTAAAAATGGCAATTTTTATATTATGTTTTCTTCTGATGATTCTCCCACTCATTATAATCTTAATGTCATATACATACATTGTTCTCAGCATCATTAAAATTGCCTCCACCACTGAGAGAGGGAAAGTCTTCTCCACCTGTGGATCCCACCTGTCTGTTGTGTCTATATTCTATGGGACACTGATTGGAATTTATATTCTGCCAACTAAAGGCCTGTCAACAACATTTAGCAAAGTCATGTCTTTGTTTTATACAGTAGTGACCCCAATGCTTAATCCAATAATATACAGCTTGAGGAATAAAGATATAAAACAAGCCATTAAATGCTGTATTTCTATAGTAATAAGTCAAAGATAAAGTTAATATCAGATTAGTAAAGGAAGATCTAATCAAAACAATCAGGAAGCCCTCAAGAACCTTGCATTTTGTTATATTTTAAGAAACTATTGCATTCATAATACAAACTTCTATTTCTAACGATATAGCATTTTACTATTTACTTAATTATTCCCCCCAGAAATAGTGAACAAAAATAAAGTTTACCTACCCTATTTCTTCCAGCATTCCAGGAGCCATGTGGCAACCACACATGCCTGGCTGAGATCATCGATCCTGATGATCAGAATCAATCTACTGATTCCCCACAGGGAAGTATTGGGAGGTTAAAGGTTAAAACTAGTTACATAATTTTATTGAAAACTCTCATCTAACATGGCAGCAGTATATGCAATGTATTCAACTGGAATGACAGATACATGCCTAACGTTTGAGGTTTTTTATGATTGGAATTAAATAAAATGAAACATGCACCTAAATAAATTATTTTATTTGCATGTGTCTGACCTTTTAATGTTTTTTAATTCCTCTTTGATATGATTTAATATGCTCTGATATGTGCTTTAGGGTTTCCATGAAATACCAAATAGCTAACATGTAGTATTCATGTAGGATGTCCGTAGGACTTAGCTGTTGTCCACTTAAATCGACCAGATGTTGGTATTAGGTTTCTTTGGTTGGCACCAGTTGGTAATTAAACCAGTCTCTAAATAGGTTAGTGGTTTATATAGAGAATAAGGGGAGCCATTAGCCACTATATAGTAACAGTCTTTCACTACTGACACCACTTGGGAAATTTGATAGACGATACTCATTAAAAGTAGTGATAAGTATGTTGGCCGTTAATAGTAGCAATATGATTGGAAACTAGATCATATCCTACCTAGGCACGCTTGAACATTTTATAATAAAGCATATATAGTGACTTGTAAAAGTATTCACCCCACTTGACTTTTTACCTATTTTGTTTCATTACCGCCTTAAGTTCAATTTTTTATTAATTTGAATTTTATGTGATGGATCAGAACACAATAGTCTAAGTTGGTGAAGTGAAATGAGAAAAATATATACATGAAACTATTTTTTTAGAAATAGAAAACAGAAAATTGGCATGTGCGTATGTATTCACCCCCTTTGTCATGAAGCCCATAAAAAGCTCTGGTGCCAATTACCAATTACCTTCAGAAGTAACATAATTAGTGAAATGATGTCCACCTGTGTGCAATCAATGTGGCACATGATATGTAATTACATGTACACACACCTTTTTTGAAAGGCCCCAGAGGCTGCAACACCTAAGCAAGAGGCACCACTAACCAAACACTGTCATGAAGACTAAGGACCTGTCCAAACAAGTAAGGGACAATGTTGTTGAGAAGTACAAGTCAAGTTTTGGTTCTAAAAAAATATCCAAATCTTTGATGATCCCCAGGAGTACCATCAATTCTATCATGATCAAAATGGACAGAACATGGCACAACAGCAAACCTGCCAAGAGACAGCCACCCACCAAAACTCACGGACCGGGCAAGGAGGGAATTAACCAGAGAGGCAGCACAGAGACCTAAGGTAACCCTGGAGGAGCTGCAGAGTTCCACAGCAGAGACTAGAGTATCTGTACATAGGACAACAATAGAGTTGGGCTTTATGACAGAGTGGCCAGAAGAAAGCCATTACTTTCAGCAAAAAACTAAATGGCACATTTTGAGTTTGAAAAAAAGGCATGTGGGAGACTCACAACATTTATGAAGGAAGGTGCTCTGGCTGATGAGACTAAATTGAACTTTTCGGCCATCAAAGAAAGCGCTATGTCTGGCACAAACCCAACACATCACATCACCCAAAGAACACCATTCCCACAGTGAAAAATGGTGGTGGCAGCATCATGCTGTGGGACTGGGAAAGCAGCAGCCAGGATTGGGAAACTAGTCAGAGTTGAGGGAAAGATGGATGGTGCTAAATACAGAGATATTCTTGAGCAAAACCTGTACCACTCTGTGCACGGAGGTTCACCTTCAAGCAGGACAATGACCCCAAACACACTGCTAAAGCAACACTTGAGTGGTTTAAGGGGAATCATGTAAATGTGTTGGAATGGTCTAGGCAAAGCTCAGACCTCCATCCAATAGAAAATCTGTGGTCAGACTTAAAGATTGCTGTTCACAAGCACAAACCATTCAACTTGAAGGAGCTGGAGCTGGAGCTGGAGCAGTTTTGCAAGGAGGAATGGGCAAAAATCCCAGTGGTAAGATGTGGTAAGCTCATAAAGACTTATCCAAAGCGACTTGGAGCTGTGATTGCCGCAAAAGGTGCCTCTACAAAAGTATTGACTTTAGGGGGGTGAATAGTTATGTACATTGAATTTTTCTGTTATTTTGTCCTATTTGTTGTTTGCTTCACAATAATAAAAAGAAAAAAAAAAAGTTGTGGGCACGTTCAGTAAATTAAATAATGCAAATCCTCAAACAATCCATGTTAATTCCAGGTTGTGAGGCAACAAATCACAAAAAATGCCAAGGGGTTGAATACTTTTGCAAGGCACTGTATTTACTAATATAGGGAAACTAAATGGTATGAAAAGCAGTATGAAACACAATAAGCTAAGCATGTGAGAAACTGACTTTTTTAGGACCCCACTACAATAGGACCACCAGAGAAATATTACATAAACACTGAAATTGAAAACCAGCATGCTACCCTATCTGATTTTAATTACTTATGTAAATTTTGAGTGTTTGAGTAAATATATAAAATGCGGATTGTTGCCATTATTGTCAAAAAAGATTTTTGTAGAACATTTTGTAAAATAGGTTTTTTGTATGTCTTTAATATTTTTTTAACACTAATTGAATTAAACTAAATAAAGTAAGCACTCTAATTTGTATTTTATCTTATTATGTATGATACTGTATTTAGTTTGTCTCTAGTGTCTCAAGTGGAATTTAAGAGTTTACAATGTAATATTTCTAATGACATGATAAGTAGTCTAGAATAATGTATATCTCAAGGAATGTGGACTTCTGTGTCTTTTATTTCTTGTTTTTATGGAAAGCAGGAAGTATTGAAGATAGTCCGAACACTTTCTGTGCTTATTTCGTTGTTTATATGACTTTTCTTATAGACCATAATTTCCTTTAGTGGTTCAAGGTGCCACAGCTATTTCCTAGGAGGTCTCTTACACTTCTATCTTTATTACAGCAGTGCCAAATATTGTGTAATAGCAGAACTCTGAAGAAGCCACGCACAGAGAGTCCAGACGCAGCGCAGTTCAGGAAGCAAAGATCTTTATTTTCATCGATCGGGTCTCAGCTGAATGTATGTCCTAAATGTCTGAGCACATGGAGTACAGGCATTGTATAGCCTATACATGCCCCATCTGTACCCTTTTTCCAATCCGCAAACAGGGTACACAGGATTACCTTATATGGACAGGCAGTTTGAAACTTAGTAGAGAATGGAATGTGGTTTCAGTTCTTGCACATGCTCAGTACATTGATGACAGTTTCCTGACTATGTGTAACTAACTAACTAACTAACAGATACATACGCTTGTATATGCCATGTGGAAAATTTAGGCCTACTAAATTTTGAGCCTAACTCAGATTCCCTCACAATTGTACATTACCTCCACTTTAACAACAGTTAATCAGATTCAGTCAACGTGATCATTTAACCAAAATTACCAGGTTGTAAAGGGTTGAAAGGGCACTAAAAAAACATTACGGGGATAGTACACACACACAAATACACTTGTCAATATTAAGATGTTGGGGTTTCTTTTAAGTATTTTTCAAACATTTGAAGCTTTATTTGTGGGTGTGTGCTATTCCTTTAATGTTTATTCCACATATGTCACACAGTATGTTCCTTTTTTCCCCCCTTTATGCTGCTTAGTTAATTGGGAGAGAGTCCTTGTTGGGGACGTATCTACAGTCCCTTAATTTCCACTTGCTTGGGAATTGTATTACTGAGCTTGCTAACTGTGACTAGTCTATTTTAAATCAAATAACTAAAAGGAAAAAACAATAAGAGGTGGGGAAAAAAAGAGTAGAGGCTTAAAGATTATCCACCGCAGAAAGACTACTAGGACCTAAATATTTGCTAAATACATCCCAAGAGTAAAATAAAACTTAACTTTTATTAATATAGATAAAAACGAAATAAATACATACAAGCAAAAAAAAATTACGTACATACAGAACCAATAACATAATGTAAAAAAAATGCCGTTGATGTTGCTGCAATGTGATATACACTGCCTGTATAATGGAATAAACAAAGTAGCAATGAAAAGAAACAGAGCAGTGATAAGGTGAAGGATAGTTTTACTTCATTAATTTTTAAGAGTAGCAATGGGGTAGTATACAAGGTACAGACTGGAGCTCACAGTCTGGCCTAACACTCTGTTTAGTTTATCTAGATCGCTAGTTTACAATGTGGTGCTATACCTAAACGAGGGAAGGGTGAAAATACCTGTACTGGCTGCTTGTGACTTTCGAGGGCATCCCAAGTCTAAACCCCTCCCCTCTTCAAATAAAAATGGGTAGTAGTCTTAAAAGATACCTAGCAGCTGTGGAGAGAAACTACCTGAATCAGGAGAAACATGAAAAGTATAATATAAAAAAATCTACTTCCCAATCTATCACATTTAAGAACAGACTGGATAGCTGGTAATGATAACCATTGAAGCTACACCAACTTTGGGAAGATAGTTAGAGCCCCTGACATAATTTTGCCAGTGGTGTCGCAAAGTATGTCAGGGGCTCTAACTATTTTAGAGTGTTGGTATACTTGGCTTCAATCCCTCTCGAACTGTTGGTCTATTTTGAGTAGATTTTTTCACATGGGAGTTAAAAAAACAGTAATTCCTGTACTTGTTGTCTTTGATATCTTTGATAATGGGTGTTAGCAGGATTGATGGTCTGATTCAGTGCACATCATGTAACATATATGCATGCTTTGATGAATCTTTCCAGGGTCCATACCTCTGTGGCATGTGTGAGCCAGTGGCTTCTCTGGAAGCTCAGATAGGAGATCTGAAGAAGAAAATTGCAACATTGAGGGAGATTGACAATCTCTCTAGTATGGGAGTGGTTGAAAGTGTAAGGTAGACTAGAGAGGTTGTGGTGGTAGGGGACTCTATTATTACGAGAATAGATAGGGTGATCTGCCGCTCTGATCATCTCAACTGGAGAGTTTGCTGTTTCCCAGGTGCTCTGATCCGACGTGTCGTCAGAGTGAATAGATTAAAAAATAAGTAGAGGGCTAAACCAGAAAGTAATAAATTAAATAAACCACTAAATACACCAAATAGTGTAAATGTCCAAAATTAAAATATACATAGAAATATTGAAGATTGCTCACAAAGAGGTATCATATGGATAATCCCCATGTAAAAAGAAAAAACAAATAATAGTGCAATATATATATATATATATATATATATATATATAAACCTGCAATATGCAGTAAAATAATCATTATTCCAAAAAAAAGATTTATTACATAGATTTAAAACACACACACAATGAATGTGCAGCTGCACAGTAGGTAAGCATGTGCACGCTATAAACACTGCTACTCTCAAAACCCTGCTAGTGTAGGATCTGTAGAGGTGAGGTAGACTGGAACAATGATGGATTGCAGAAGTCTGTAGTGCCCTCACACGATCCTCTGATACAGTCAGCAACTTGCCAAACAGTACCAAATTGAATCTTGCAGAAAAAAAGGTGCCGTCCACTGTATGAAGTCAATACGTTGTACGTCTAAGCATTTCGACTTCCGGCCTAATGAGAGTGGATGGATTATTGGAAGGAGCTGGAAATTATCCAGTTGTCATGGTCCATACAGGTACCAATGACAAAGTCAGAGGAAAATTGAAAGTTCTAAAGAATGAGTTCAGGGAATTAGTCAATTGAAAAAAAAGGACCTGCAAGGTAGTATTTTCAGAAACATTATCTGTGCCACATGCTAAGTAGAAAGGCAGTGGGAGAACAGAGAGGTTAATGTGTGGCTAAAGTCATGGTATAGGATAGAGAGTTGTAGCCTTTCAGAGCACTGGGCTGATTTTGTTCTTGGGTACAATCTTTACAGCCTTAATGGATTGCAGCTATATGGTCTGCTGTGTTGGAGGACAGGGTGGCTAGAAGGTTGGAGGAGAGTTTAAACTAGTGGTGGGGGAAAGGGACATAGAAATCTACAAAATGGAGATAGGACAGAAAGGAGATGGGCTTTACCTCAGCACAAGGGGGTGGAGGTGGGGTGCAAGATAACAGCGGTGGTATGTAATAGTAATACAAATTCTCATAAATTATAAGTGACTCATTAAAATATTAAATGCATGCTTACTAATGCAAGGAACCTAACAAACTAAATAGAAGCAACAGTACACTCTAAGCAATATGACATACATAAAAGAAACAGAGTGGGATGAGACACATGACTGGGCAGTAAACTTAAATGGTTACACACTATTTCAGACAAAAATTCCCACAATACTCACCTTTTCCTCTGTGATCTAGCGATGCCTGCTTTCAGTATTCCCAAACGTCCTGTCACTTAGACAGGACACCAGTGAAACTACCAAATTGTGTCCTAACAGAATGAGAACAGTTTGTCCATTTGTGTTAGGATGACATTTGGTGCTTTTAGTTCGGTTCAGAATTTCATTCGAATGAACGGAATCGCAATCAGATTCATGCTGCTGCTGTAAGATTGGTCTTTAAGCCAACTTTACTAATACTAAGAAAAAAAAACATAGAATGATTATATACAGCCTGCAAAATGCATGTTTGGGACTAATGGGATTTAACATTCAGTGTCCAATAGGTGGATACATTTCTGCCCACATGGTACCTATCTGGATACCCCTCACTACTCCCCCCTTCTGTCTCTCATTTTCTTTTGTGCCCCCTCTGTCTCTTCTGTCTCACATCTTTAGACATACCAACAGCACTAGACAAGAATGAAGACTCTGCCTCCATAAGGGTTCAGGTGGCTGGAATCTTTCTCTAGAGTTCATCCGAGGGTGTTTGGAGTCTGAAATGATTGATATTGTAAAATAATACAAGCTTGTCTGTGTTGTTGATGTAATTCGATGTGAAACCTTTTAACCCTCCTCTACTGTTTAAAACCAATAAAATATGAATTACAAACAAATGTTCTCAGAGGTTTTGCTGTGAATTATTTAGACTAGGAGTGGGAGGCAAATTGGTGATAAAACAGCAATC